TTGTCTGATTTCAAGACTTTTTTTCCATGTCTCTCATTCTTGCTCCTCACCAATCATTAATGCTGGTTACTCTACCTCCAAAACTAAACTCAGCAAAACTTCAAAGCACACATAAAACTGACCTCTACACATAAATATGCTCATTCACAATCATAAGTGTTATTCATCAGCTACAGAAATAAAAATCACCAAACTTACCTGGAGTGTTGGTAGAATATGAGTCACTAAGATTTAAGGAACATTAGTGTGATGACAACTTTTGGGAGGCTACACAAACTTTGATGCGGAGAGTTAGAAGATTTATTTGCCTTCTCAGGAGACATTTTTCCCCTTTTCTGTAGGTTCTTAGCTGTGTTCTGGATAGGCAAGTATACCATATAAATGATCCCCATACAAGTGAATTACAACTACCTACTCACTTTGGTTAAATAAATTTTAAAAATTCATTATCTGAAAAATATATCATTATTTGTTCCTAAAAGCGAACTCTTTTTCCTATCATGTAGAAAGGGCTAAATAGCTTTGGAAACTGTTTTAAACATCAGCTTATAGATATGTTTTCCAGAGTATTTTGATGAGGAGAAGAAACTGGCAAAAAAATCATAGCATGTGGAGATCACCCAGACAGTTTGGGAATTTATATGATTCTTCACAATAGGTCAGTTGACTGTGTCAACATAGAATAGAACAAAAGATAAATCTTTAAAAACTCTGTCTATAGAGCACACATAGATGATATAATATTCTGCTGAGCTTTTAGGTTTTGCATCTGCTGCTTAGAAAGACCCTTGACCTTGAGATTTGGCAGTCACTATGAATAAGTTTATATAATATCCATACTGAGTCCCAGAAACTGAACCTGTGTGGCTGAAACAGGTCAGTGTCTTCAACTTTCTCAGACACATTCCATACATCTTGAGTAATGTAGTGCAAATTCATTGTTTCTAAAACACCCATCTGAACGTGTTATTCTCCTTCTTAAAATCTTATAAAGATGAAACATGGTAGAGAAGTTCCTCTATTATCAGCCCATAGATTACTATGTAGATCCATCTCTCACCACAACTCACCCTTCAACCCACCCCACACACATCAAATAAATACCCTACTCTCCAGTCATTTCAACAAAGTGTTTCAAGTTTCCTGAACACTCTGATAGCATCATGCCTCGGGGCTTTTAAACATGCAGTTTCCTCTTCCTAGAATTGCCCTCTTCAACCTCTTTCCTTCCTAACCCTATTAGGCTCCGCTTTTATGTCCCAGCCCCTCTACCAATGTCTGGCTATTTTCTGTTTGTCTTTTGAGTCTTACCTTGGATGTCATATTCTCTAGGAAGCCTTTCTGGCCTATTCCCAATCCCTGGTTGCATTCAGTGATCCTCCTATATTCTCCCATAACTTGGTATGCTTACCTTCATGCTAACACTTACAATACTGTAATACACCCTACTGTTCTTTATTGGCCTTTTCTTGTTAAGCTATGAGTAATCTTCAGATAAGACCACACTTTAGTAATTATTTTTATGTCCCTAGCAGTGTGTGCTATTCAATAAATGTCTGTTGATTGAGTGAATCTAGAAGAAATGTGTTGCTGTTAAATGCAATTAAAGAAGTCTTTCATTTCTTCCTTCTTATTTCTGACATATTCACAGTTTCTGAAATGAATTAGTATAAAAATTATTGTCTAGATTATATATTTTATTCAGAAAGGCTAATAGGCATTATCTAAGCCTTTGCACTTTCTCTCTCTCCTTTTAACATCTTCTCATTTTAATAAGTATAAAGGAGTTTCAAAGATAGTATTTCCTTACTTCTACAGTGAGTTAGATGATCATAATTCTAGGGAAACATAAATTTTATTTCCAGAAGGAACCATAGGCAAAATGAGAGATGAAAAATGCAAAATATAATTATGTTAAACTCATAGCCAAAGCTAGGTTCAAATAAAGTAGTAATTAATTTAGGTAATCTTACTTATATATGCTTTCCTCTTCCAATTTTTTCTATTATATGAAAATTATCTTTTAATGAGAAACAGTAAAATTGTGTTGACCGGAAGGTGGTAAAACAGTAGAAATTTAGGTGATTTTTGTATACCAATGGTACTGATAACACTATTGAATTATTTTAGTGGTTATGGAGAGAACATAGGGTACATTTGTTTTCTGAGAGTTTAAAACAATTTTATGCTTTCAAAAAATACATTTCTTGAACCACAAACATGTGACCTCATGATCAATACTGAGAAAAATTCTGGACTGGATTTTAAAATCATCTCTTGAGCATTGAGATAAAGTGAACACTACTAGGGATCAGCTAAAGGAAAAAAAGGAATAAGGATAAATTTCATTTTGTATACACCTGCTATCTAGGCAGAGGAGGAGATATCTGTAGATTTAGTGTATCAAATTCTTGCAAAACATGTGACATCTCTGGTGATATCTCAGTGGTCATAAGCCACATATGTGGTCTGCGTGATAAAACAGTTAATGACCAGAAAGTCAGGCCATACCAAAAAAGTGCTTATTTACAGTTATTTTTACTGTAAAGGGATACATTTTTCAAGACTTTACCCTCAATCTTGTCTATTCAATGTCTTAAAAATGAGTTGGATGAGAATGTAAATTAACTTTCATTTTGACCCAGCTATTAACATTAAGTTAGAAAGGATAACAGAAAATATCTGTGCAGATTTGAAAGTGGAAAAACTTGGAGATTTTAGTGTGCTGTGAACCTAGTATGAATAAAAAAAATGTAAGGGACTTACAAAATAGCTAAATAAACATTGGTTTACAGCAATCTCCTTGGGCTAGTTCTCAAGTCTTAAGCACCACCCTCTTTAAGAAGTACTGAAATACTGGTTCATGTTTAGAAGCAGTGATCAGAATTGGGACATATTCAATTTTAAATAAAGCAAAAAATAATTGCCTGGAACTAGAAACAATGATTGTTGCTTCCCCATACATGAAGGACTGGCACAAGGAAGGGGGTTTATAATTGTTCTGAGACACCTCCCAATACACCCAACTTAATATGAAGGATGAAGGCCACAAAAGCCATGTGCAGAATACACACACACGAACGCGCACACACACACACACACACACACACACACACACACTCACACATATTTTCTAGCAATCAGAATTGTCCAAAGATAATATGTATTTCATAGGAATTATAGAGTTCTCAGTTGGGGCAAGTTTTGGGTAAACTTGACAAGAAAACTATATTAGCAAATATAGTTTCCATTATTGGAAAATAATGTGTTGGGGATATTGTAATAGAAATTTAAATATTTGATGGAGTAGAAAATAGAAGAGTTGAATTAGATGACCTCTAAGATCTCTCCAACCGAGGAAAATTATGTTTCTCTATAATAACATTCATGGGAATACTAGTAATAATAGTAGTATTAGTCATAGCTTTTTAAATTTTGAATATTTTCTAGTTTCCATACTATGTGTTTAGCATTTTATAATCCTCACAAGTAGCCTATGAAGTCAGTGTCATTGTTCTATTTAATTTATAGACTGGGGAAGTAGAAGTTTAAGGAAGTTATCTAACTTGCCCCAGGACACATTGAAAGAGTAAGTCAGGATTCAAATACAGGGATATCTGACTCCTGAAACTGCCCTTCCACCATGACTTAGTACAATAGAGCTGAGTTAGTGAGCCCAGCTGGCACCACACAATGGGACAAAATCATCATTCATGTAGGAAAGAAAGTCATCAGTTGGCTATGGCCAGGAAGAACTGATTGCTCCTAATCAGGTTTACACACTAATCTTAACTCTGTGGCACATACTCGGAAGCAGAGCAAATAAAGTCTTAATACATGAAAGTGAACAAGTTATTCCCTTGAATAAGTTAAGCCTCTTCAAAGGCCAATTTATTAGCCCTAGGAGTCTTAAGAGAAAAATGATTAATGTATTATTACTATGGTATATTAATAGGACAAGTGTGGACCATAAAATTTAATTTTTCTTCCAGAGAGCTTCGTTTATATTTTAAAACAACGATGATATAGCACCTCTTGTATTATCCTGAATAGAGCTGGAACCCATTGTACTAAGTGAAGTATCCTAAAAATGGAAAAACAAGCACTACATATACTCACCATCAAATTGGTTTTAACTGATCAACATCTAAGTGCATATATAGTAAGAATATTCATTGGGTATCAGGCAGATGGAAGGGGGGAGAGGATGGATATACACACATCATGAGTGCAGTGCATACTGTCTAGGGGATGGACACACTTGAAGCTCTGATGGGGGTGGGGGGGACAAGGGCAATGTACATAACCTAAACATTTGTAGCCCCCCAAAAAAGTAATTGATACAAGGGAAGAGTCTGTAATTTCTCTCCCCATCCCCATTTTTCCACACATACCCAAGAGGAAATGATCATATTATATTATTTGCATAATCATCAATTTTTCACTGGAATGTAATTGGCCAATATTATTATTTTATGGATACCAAACAGAAATATGGGGAGAATTCTCTACTTCACATAGCAAATAACTAGTGTGTTTAAGAATAATATCCAGGTTTTCACATGCATTTAACAAGATTTTATGAAATGTTCCCTGTGTTGAAGGTGAGTGTAAAACAAAGAAGTAGAACACACTCCAGCTCTCAATGAACTCAGACACACACACACACACACACACACACACACACACACACACACCACATAACACAAGAGCAAAGCAAGAGAATATTAAATATCCAATATATTTGGAGTCATTAGCCTAAAGTAAGAGAAATAGAAAAGACTCTTTGGCAAGCATGGTTTTCATACATATCTGAAAAAGAAGAAAATGTTTTTGAGTTTTACAGGCCAAGGAAATGAAAAAAGCAAAGATTCTAAAAAGTCAAAGAAAGATGGTAAAAAAAAAAAAAGATGAAGAAAATGGTGGCATAATGAAAAAGGGCAAAATTCTTGATCTTTTACATTCTATTTCAATCTTTACGAAATTTTACTACTATTCACCTTATACACAATGCACCTTCCACTAGATTGATTAACCACAGCAAATCTATTAGTCACTCACACTCCTGAAGAGCTCTTGGTGGTACTCTTATAGATAGTTTAATGATGAAGGTTGTTCCAACACTGAAAGAAAAAAATGAAAATAAATATCATATATTCCTATTGTCTTACCTTGAGCAAAATCAATTTAGGCAACTTTAAGAGCCAGAACACTAAAGAAAGTTGATTAATATGCAGAAAATTTGTAATATACAGTAACATAAGATGTACTAAGGCTATCACATACATATTCCCTACCCTCCTTGTTCCCAAATCACACTCTTATTCAAATTTAAGGTTTGATTTCTGAAGCAATTCCACTTCAAGTACTCCTGGAAGAATGGAAAGTCCCCTTAAATAATAAATTCTGGTAGCTCATTCTACCATGGCAATAAACTGCCAGTGAGATTTTCATTTCTATGTCTGATCAGACTGGTTTCACGTGGCTGCTTTCCAGAAATTCTCTGCCAGGACAGGATCATCTCACACTCAAGTCAGGACACAGAACTACCAGATTCAAAGTTGCTCAAAAGAAGTAGTTTCTTGGTTTCAACCTCAGACAGATGGAATTGAACAGCGTTTTTTAGTTTAAGAAAAGGAAAGAACTAGAGAGAGAGACAGAAAGAGTTGAGTGCTTTAGAATCCAATAATGCTGTGAATTATTCCACTTCTAAGGAAGTAGAAGGGTAGATTTTGGGGCACAAGGAAGTCCCCACAAAGAGAAAACCTTCTATCAAATGAGGATTGGTCATAGCCCTGAAGGGAAAAGGAAGTCACAAAATGGAAGCCCCTGGAAGCAGAGAGGGGAGGGCATTCCCCAGCCAAGAGACTCAGGCTTGCCATTTTAATCCGGATGAGCTGCCGCTTACATTTTTAGAATCAAATCTTGCCAGTCCTGCTCTGTGCTTTCCCCTTCAGCTTTATTGAACTCCTTTCTGTTCCCAGAATGTGTTGCACTTGTTCATCTCTGGACATTTGCCAGTTCCTGAGACTAGGACACTGACGCTTCCTCTCCAGCCCTTTGGCTGGTCCACGACTTCATATATTTCAGTCCGAGTATCACTTTCACCAGAGAGTTTTTTGATTTCCATTCCCACCTTCAAAATCTAGGTTTGAAGTTCCACCATAGCACCCTGTAAGTCTTCAGTCAAAGCACCTTATTTGATCATTTAAGTATTTGTCTGTATCCTCTAGCAGACTAAGACTCAGGATCAAGTGACAGTAACCATTTTGTTCACTTTTGCATCTTCACTGCTTGGCACAGCACACAACATTTGGTAGCTGTTTAGTAAATATCAAGTGAATTAATGGGTGAGTGAAGGATTTATCTTAGCTCAGAAACCTCCTGTAGGTGGCTCTATGATAAAAAATTATAATGAAAATTATAACGATAACCAATACTACACTTCTCTTGTGTGATAGTTATTAAGCACACTGAAGTTATTATCTGATTTGCACTCACAACTATGAGTGAAACACTGTAATTATCTCCATATTACAAATAAGAAAATTGAGATTTAGAATTAGAAAAATTTCCCATGATCACACAGGTAACAAATTTGGAAGCTGGCATCTGGGTTGAGGTCTATATGATTTCAGAGGCTGAACCCAAACTTAATTTAATGCTAACTGTCTTCAGTAATTAATATTTGTAGGATACACTGACAAAATCAAGCAATTATTTATTGAGAGCTTACTATGCTTGGATAAGTGCGCATGTAACTTTATTCCGGCAACAACTGCCTTTCTTTCCTTGGTTATTTAGATTTACCATTAAAAATTGGAACTGTTGTTATAAACCTGGCCATGAAATTGTCAAAGTGAAAAGTAAAAAGCAATCGACAACAGTGGAAAAATAAAGATATAAACTCTTATTCACTAATATAGAATAAGACTTAATTCAAGGTTATATGCATAAACTGCTGAACCTTTTAACTGAGGGAAGACTCCCGTGTGTGTCAATTGATGACTAGGGCCTGAGCAGCACTCATATGGGATGTGTAAAGGGGAGTGGTAAAATCGTAGAATTACAGCCAAGCCTTAGTCCAGAGTGAGCAGAGCAGCTATAATCCATATCCAGCCATTCATCCTGGTGTCAGAAAGGTGGCATAAATGCAGGGACCGGGGGGTCGCAGCTGGCTCACCCGCAGCCCAGCTCAAGACTGGGTCTTTCAACATTGTGGTCTGAGGGAAAGTGCAGTTTAATGGCTCATCTACCACCTGTTGCCAGGCAGGACAAGTGATAGCAGGAGACTTCCAGACTCTGATTACTAACTCTCTTTAGTAGGAAGTATTGTGAACAGAACTTTTTTGTTGTCTTAACAAAGAGATCCGTTCTGCAGATTCTTGTTGAAACATAACAGAAGAGCTTGGGTATCAGGCCTTTCAAAGAAACAGAATCTTCCTAACTGGATGAAATGGGTAGGGAAATAAAGAGGAAGCAACAAGGGAAAAAAAAATCTCAGAAAGCAATTCCTCTTATTCCAATCCTAGAGTTTTAGGCACCCAGAATGTTATTAGCTATGCTCTTTAATATGGTAGTCTCTTGCCACATGTGGCTCCTAAGACATGAAATGTGGCTTATCTGAATTGAGATGCACTTTAAGTATAAAATATACACTGGATTCTGAAGACTTAGTGTGAAAAAAGAATGTGAAAGATTTCATTAATAATTTTTATGTTGCTGAAATAATATTTTAAGTATATTGGGTTAAATAAAATATATTATTAAAATTAATTTCACTTGTGTCTTTACATTTTTTTAAATGTGACTACTATAAATTTTAAGTTTACACCTATGGCTTTCATTTGTGGCTCACTTTATTATCTATTAGACAGCACTAATTTATAAGATGGTTACATATATTACTTCTATCTAATATACCTCAACAGGATCTTTAATCCTCTTTAAATGCTATCTTTGACTCAGGGAGTTTTTAATTAAATTACAGATAATGTTATCAATCCTCAGGACATCTAACTCTTATATTTCAAAATATTACACTTAAAGGTTATTCAATTATCATGTATTTCAATATTTTTGACTCAATTTAACTTTTAAAAATTTAATTCAGCTATTGTGAACTAAACAGTAAAGTTTTGATAACATCTAGAGCCTGAAAAAAAATGGAGACATCATTGTGGTCCTCAATACCAGCAGCTATTTGTTTTGTGAAAAGACATGTCTGAAGGGCACCAAGATGAAAGTGAAAACATAGAAACCTATGAAACTGACTATCTGTTGATCCCTTGCCATTCCTGTTATTGTCTCATCGGTATACTTCATCTGAGAACGAGAGCCAATGTGAAAAAGAGGATTTTGTGAATATTTGCATATGACATACACTTAGTTTGAAAATGTACGCGTATTTTCAAGATTTTTAAAATTCAAATTACATTATTATAACTTTTAGGGCTCTTGATTTTTTTTTTAAAGTGTATCAATCTGAGTTCCTGTTGGAAACAGAATATTTCCTAGATTGTTCAAATAAGAAGATTTAATGAAGGGCAAGATTAAGAACAAAACCAAAACAAGGAACAAAGACTAGCAGAAGCAAAATGTCATTAGTGCTGCCAGGGCCGATGGAACAGGGTTGTGAAATGGTTTTAAAGAGTGCTAAAAAAGCTAAAGCCAAAGAGAGGGAAGTCTTCAGAGCTACCTGTGGTCAGAAATGTAGTGCCAAGCAGGGCAATAGCAGGAAAGAAGTATTCTGACCTCTCCCTCTCTGCCTACCTTCTGATCTACTCAATTGGTCCAGCCCAACTAGAGGTCCACCTTCATGTGCAATTAATGACTCAGAGAAAGACATAGAATGGGGAAAAGAACTATAATAGAGAATAATTAATACACTTATGAACCACTTTTTATCCAGGATTATTTTTTTCTAAGGTCTAAAGCACTGTGAAGAGACATAGTTACAAATGGGAAAAAGTAAGTGGTATGGTAAAGTCTAACAGAAAGGTAGTTAATTAAGTAAGACATGCTACATCAAAATGAAGAGCATTAATATGGAATAAGTTATGTCGTGGTAATAGAAATCCAGGAGAGTCATAATGTTGTAGAAGGATAAAAAGTATAAATGTTAGATATAGAGAGCTTATAGTGCTTAAGTTTCTCTCAATTAATTTAGGAATAAAAATTACAATTTGTCATAATGAATAAGAATTAAAATTAAAAGACAATGAGTGCTTAATTACATCTTGAAAATTGGAAATGGATAACTTGGGAGAAATTGCCAAAAGATTAGAATTTAATAATTTGAGAATGATATTTTTCAACTTTTTAATATTTGACACTAATTTTGATCATATCAGTGATTTTTGGTTAGTTAAAACTCTGGAGAAATTTAAACTCTCAGGTATAAGACAGCTTAGATAATTCTTTCAGTACTTCATCACATACCAGTACCATATATAACCTAATTGATATAAACAAATAAAATGAATTCAAAAAACAGAAACATATGCAGAAGGTTATGCTTTCTATTAGCCTCTGTGAGTGACCTGAACGTACTTTGGGTGTGGCCATTTTCTGTCTTTCCTTGATCTCTTTGACAATATCTACTCAACCACCAAGATTAAAATCCTTCACAAAAATCTATGCTCCTCTCCAGAAAGATTTCCCTAACTTTCTTCCCGCTCCTATCCTCCTCCTATGCTCAGGTGGGGGTGAAACTAGCACTTGAGAATAATATATACCATAGAATTGTTGAACTAAAATGATACTTAGAGAAGGGGATGGATAACACATTGTTTTTTTGCCAACATTTGGTTGAGATTTTGTTACCAGTTGTAGTTCCTGGCCCAGGAACAGCAGTGCTGTAATTCTATATTATTCATTAAGGCACTATACATACCAGTTTGATACAAGACAGGAAGGAGAGGGAGTCAACATTCTATTTCGAAAGGTCTAATCTTTGTCCTTCTGTTAGAAGGTCATGGTTTTATTTGCCGGCAAGGTCACCATTTTCAAGGTTTCTTTCAACTGCCCAGACAAGAACTCTATTGAGAACCCAAACTGTCATTCCTTTAAGCAGAGGTGGGGGGAGGATTTTAACTCAGGCAATTTTTGGAACGTGTACTGACACCACCCTGTCACCTGTAGAAAACATCAGTCATGTTGCAGGGAATATCTAGTTTAAAGCAACCACACACTTCTGATGGGCCTGCCAGCTTTAAAATGTGACCTTCAATAAAGGACAAACTGACCAATTGAATGAAGTTATTCAGGGTAAGAATTCTTGCCATTTCTGACATCTATTTTTTAAAAACCTTCCAGATCATTAATTCATATCTATGACCATATTATTTGGGTATCTTTTTCCATTCAATTTTTCCCTAACTTTTCTAATCTTAAAATATTCTGGAACTACATAATCTCCTTCCCCAAATAATTCATAATCTTGGGCCAAGCATCTAAATATTCTTATTCAGCAAGTCTGAAGTGGAGTCCAGGACTCTGCATTCTCAAGAATTCCACCTTGCCCCAACCCACCATGACCAGGCAAGTCTGGAGAAAACTACAACTGACAGTTGAAAACTGATCAACAGTTGAAAATTTTTCAATTACACTGCTTTAAAGATGTATTCTGATGTACCACTTAATTTTACTACTTCTTAAATAAAACCAATCAGGCTATAATAAAATCTGAGGATATTTATTACACATGCAAGGGACTGTTATGTGCCTAGCGATTTTTATTTTCAAAACCAAATTGCATATATGTACTTTCAGTTCAACAAAATTCTTGATCTAGAATTTCTGCATTTATAAGCAGCTCTTATTTTTCTTGGAAAAGCCTCCAAGTACCTAAATTATTGAAAGTAGCCATCATTTATTGAACACCTACCACATATTTGTAAGATATTCTTCATACATAATTGTACTATTCCTCACAGAAAAGTGTACATTATTGTGCTTATTTTTTTACAAAGGAAGAAAGTGAGGCTCAAAAAATTAGGCAGTTCATCCAAAATCCTACAGTTAATATCAGAACATTAGTCCAAAACATACAATTCCTGAGTATCGCATTGCCTCCCAGAGAAAGTACTATGACAAACTAATTTACATGTAAAAACAAATCAATAAGGAATTTTTTTATCTGTGCGTTTTCTTGGGGCATTCATTTTCATTTTCTAACTATAGTAAATTAGTTATTTAAGTTAGTTATATAAATATATAGTTTATGTCTAGAAATATGACACCCTGTATAGCATTTTTTATTTTTAATTCAGCCATAAGTAAGGAAGAAATGCTGATAATATCACTGATTGTGAATGGCTGTTAGGATGTACACACCATAGAGAAAAACATGTACTTGAATTGATTCTTAGGGGGAAAATTTTACAGTATCTTTCCAGATAAAATAAGAATATCTCCAGGGTTCATAACCAAATCAATGAATTTACAATCATCTATCGAGATGTTTAGAAATACAAGGAAGGAACCACACTGTTTAAATACTGTTAGTGTCAATTTTTAAAATTGCTGTGCTTTTCAGATTTTGCTTTTGCTACTTTAATATAACCATTCAATCCTCAATAAAGTAAACAGAAAAATAGTCTTGATAAACTTTTAACTTGTCAGCAAAAATACTTCTGAAAGCATAGACTAACTGATATATTCAGGCTTACAGAGACAGAGAAATTGTGACAAGATCTAGTCTTTATGAACATTTTTAAGTGCAATTGTTTGATATAAAAATGGTTCTTAAAATGTATCAACTTAATTATTCCATTATTGATGTGAAAGATCTTTCTTGGGACTAAACATGAAAAATCATATTTTTGGCATCTAAATAACAAGCCAATAATGCTTCTTTAAGAGAAATTTCTGGCTAATTATAAAGTAAGCATAAAAGAAAGCCAATCTCTCTAGCTTTATTTGTCCTCAATTTACTTAGATAATTAAGTAAAAAAGAAAGTGTTATCCCACTGGTTTATTCAACTGATTGCCTACATTACCTGGAAAATTCCAGGAATTTCTTTATATCTGCTATTAAATTAAAAAGTGAAAAAAATAAGAAAGTAGGTTTACTAATTTCTTTTTTAAAAAGCCTAAGATTTTGTTATGATGTCCTAAGTGCATGCACATCAGTAGCAGAATTTTTAATTGAAAACAAATTGTTCTTAATTCTAGTAAGTTTAAACTGCTTTTCAAAGGATTCTAGAAATTGAAGTGGAGTGTTTGGTTGCTGTGTAAAAAAATCACTGGTAATAGATCATATACTTGTAATTGTCCATATGCATTTTTGCTTCAGCAATTGATGCTTAAAATTTTTGCTCTATTCCAATAATACTTACCTATATTACCCCAAATATTGTTACTTTCTTTTATGTCTTATCTTAAACAGAAATACTAACTATATGTCCATAGTTCTAGATTTTTTTCTTAATTCTAAAATATTGTCACACCACAATTTTTTTATGTATCCTTGTAAATAGCTATCAGTCAAGGAGAAAATTGGATTAATATTAAAAGACTAAGTAGGAAAAATACACACTCACATCAGATTTATGAGGTCAACTAAAGCTATCCTCAGAGTAAATGTTATTTTCACTTTTTTAAATAAATCAAATATTTTTTTAGGATTTACTCAAAAGTTTGGAAGAAAAGTAAGCAAAATCTGCATAACTGAGAAGGAATTAATGATGCTTCAAGCATTAATATTTATATGACAAAGCAATAGATATAATCAATATGAGAGTTTTATCAATAATTACATATTAATAGAAAAATGTATTAATTGAATTATTTCAAAAATGAGAAAAAGCATATTAAAATAAGATCCTTCTAAGAAAATTGATGCTAATATACTTAATTATCTCAAGAAAATGGACAACTTTCTAAAGAAAATACAGAAATATCCAAAACTAATTCAACAAGAATTAAAGAAGAAAAAATTTAAAGCAAAAGAATAATTGAAAACATCAAAAACTTAGCACAAACAGAAAAGCGTCTTCAGAGACAGATGCTTTTACATTTGATTTATCTAAAATTACAAGACAGAAAATATCTGTGTTAAAAACAAGTACTGGAAAATATACATAAAAAAGGTAAAGTTGCCAAATTCACTTTATAAAACAATAACTACTCTGAAAATAAAAACTGATAAAGAAACACAGAAAATAAATGTGTACCAAATTCTTTATGACTATAGATGTGCACAATCCTAAAAATAGACTATAACAAATTAGTCTTTCATCCAAGAATCAAACTATTCACCATTATGAAGTGTACTCACAAAACTTATCACATAGACAAATTATATAAGGAAGCTAATATAATCATTTCCATTGGTTCCCCAAAAAGGCTACAACAAAATTCAAAAATCATTGGCTAGTATTAATTGTTAATACACAGAAATGAAGATGTTTCCTCACCATGATGAAGAATATCAATATCACTCCAAGAGACAATGTGGTTCTTAACACAAAGCCAGAGGAAGACATCATTGCTATTGAACATTGTCCTAAGTTCAGCTAGTGAAACTTGGAAAGGAGAAAGCAAAATAATTATTTGAAGATGATATAATAAATCTGGAAATGCCAAATGCATGCAGATGTAAAGCAATGTAACATTTGAACTTCATTCAAAATGCAATTTATATGTAGAAAAAAGTCTTGACTACAAAGGGTATCTTTGAACAGTAGAATTGTAATATCTACTTTTTTTCTACTTTTTGTTGATATACAAAATTTCTTAATGCATATGTAGTGCCTAAACAAGGTAAACAAAACAACAAAAAATTATCTGTAAACAAAAATTCTAAATAAACTGGCAAAAAAGTAAAAAAAAAACCTTACCATGATGCTAAAACCATTAACAATTTTGTATATAGATTTGTACATATGTGTTTATGATACACACATGCATTTATCTAAATATATCTATGTATGTGAATGGATATATCATATTTTTCAACTTGTTATTGACTTGATATATCATGGGCCTCATTTAATATGCATATAATTTATTCCAATCATTTCACCAGCCATATATGTCATAATTTTTGTATGGGTTTGCTACAAATTTCTTAACTAGCCCCTTATTAATGGAATTTAAATTGTTCACAGATTTTAATTTTTACAGATAAGCATTGAATGAGCATTCTCACTTATATGTCTTTTTGTACTTATGTGAGTATTGCTGCATAACAAACTACCACAAAATTTGGTAAATTTATTTGATATCAAGGTTTTGTGTTTCAGGAATTCATGAGTGATTCTTCTATTTTGTATGCCATGAATTGAAGTCACTCAGTGGTATTCTGGTGCCAGATACAGTGTTGGACCAGGGTCCAAGGCTGCTCCCCTCCTACCTGACACTTTGACAAGAATTCCTGGAAAACTAGGCAAAGCTGGCTGTTGACAAGAGTACCTACATGTGACCTCTTCAGCAGGATGGCCTCAGTGTAGTTGGGCTTCTCAGTTGGCAACTCAGAGTTCAAGGAAAAGTATTCTAAGAGGCCCCTAAGGGACTGTAAGGATTTTTATGACCTAAACTTTGAAGTTCTAGAATATCACTTTTGACACTTCCTATTAGTCAAGGACTCTACTAAGGCCAACCTAAAGTCAAGAGGAGGAGAAGTAGACTCTACACTCCGTGGAAGTAGTAAAATTTTGTCGTCCTCTTTTATTTAACACAGTGAGTAATTCTAGGGTAGATTTAGGTATAATTAGAGGGTCAAGCAGTATGTGCACTCCTGTCACCCCTTTGTACATATGTCACAGAAGGGGATTCTGAGTGATGCAGCCTCAATTCCTGCATTTTCCTGTCTTTTTTTCTTTTTTTTTTTTTTATTGCCTTTGGAAGAAAGAACAGAGTATCTGATTCAGCTTATTTATGTTTCTACTAGGGGAAAAGATTAGTCGTGTGTGCATCTGTGTGTTTGTGTATGTTATTTGTGTTGAGTTTTAAAAAAAAATGGAAAGAAGAAAAAATATCTCCCTTCTTGCCTTTCCCCACTCTCACTCTACCTCTCCTGCCCCTTCTGCTTTCTATCGTTGCTTGCGTGTGAATCCACATTCCTATTTGTAATCTTTTGTTCACCTAGTTTTTGGTTTTCAGTAAAATCTCCTTACAACCAAAGGAAAGAAAATCACCTTCCAAAAAGTTTGTACCAAACCAATTTTAAAGAAATATCAGAGTGAACTTTCGAAATAGACATGTGTATTGTTGAGTTAGTAGTTTCTGACTGGCCCTCAGAGATAGTCAACATTTTCTATTTGGCTTTTCATTAAGGGTCTTGGTGATGGTAAAATAAATATGTAGTAGAGCACATGAAATGTGACTTCTGGTATAAAGTATCAGTGATTAAGAAACATCTTCAAGATACACAAGAAGGGGTTCTCCTTTATCTATAAACCTCTTTGAAACCTTACCACACAGATTTTTATCTGGTTTACAATGTGTTGAAGACTATCTCCTGAAGGCAGATCACTAAGCTACTGTGCAGGTAGGTAAATTTTAGGATTAACCATAATATAATCAGATCTATACCAAGACAATAAATTTCTTTGCTTTCTTAATCTTCATTAGATCATCCCATGGATTGCTTTCCATATTTCCTTACCTTCTCTGAAGCTGATGAGATAAGAAGAATTTAGAACCTTCCAGTTCAATGAAGTTGCTATCCCTATGCCTAATATTCTTAATCTAAAAATTTCATTTAGAAATAATATCTGCTATGAATAGTAGAGAACCCAACTAACAATGACTTAAAATATAACATGTATTGATGATTTAACAAAGAGTCTGGGTATGGGTGCCCTCAAGGTAGGTAAGCAATTCCATAATATTATCAAGGATTCAGTTCCTTCGTATCTTTCCACTCCACCAATTTTATCTGTTGGCTGATTGCCCTTGTGATTATTGCCTAATGGGGAAAAATGGTTGCTTTAGTTCCAGACAGTATATTCATGCTCAAAGATTTTGTTTTTATGGAAAATGAGCTCTTCTCTCATGTTATTTCCTTTTATAAGGTAGCAAAAGCCTTCTTAAATGTTCCTCAGCAGGCACCTCATTGGCCATACTTGATTACCCCTTGCTCTTAAGGAGGCTAAAAAAGAGATTACCTGACTTTTCAGTCTTTTTTGTGAGTTGGCAGAGGAGGAACAAATGGGTATGGCTTTTTGGTGGTGAACCAATAATTCTACCATTCAAGATAAAAACAGAAAACATGGTGAGTCTTGGGATAAGTTTGAAGTACATTCAAGAATGCTTCTAGAATAGGAACTAAAGTCTTTTCAGGTTACATATGGTCCAACCCAATTCCCAGTACATGTCTAGCACATAAAATGGAACTCAAGATACTCTTAATCCTTATCCAAGCTCACCTTTCTTGAAGATTTAGCAAGGGTAGATTTTAATGAGCTTGCTGCCAATTTGGAAGTTGAGAATATTTTCTTTTTCTCTCTCCCCTTCTCTCTCTCTCTCTCTCTCTCTCTCTCTATATATATATATATATATATATATATATGTGTGTGTGTGTGTGTGTGTGTGTGTGTGTGTGTGTGTGTGTATTTCTCAATCTATCTTTTCTTCTCTAAATTTGGCCTTGGTATCTGAATGTTTACTTTTTTTATATCTGCAACAAAGGACAAAGGAAATTATCAGCCAGGGAAGTGACACAATGTAGAGGACAAAACAAGAACTTTGAAGATCTAGATAAGGAATCAAGATTTTATTCCTGGCTCTGTTGCTAATTATGAAATCTGTGACTAATTATGAAATCTCTCACTTTAAGACTTAAGACTTTAAGTCTCAATTTACTATAAGTCTTAGTTTCCTTGTCTGTGAATGAGGAAATGACAAAATATTCTGTTCAGGGTTATATATTTCATTATTTCATTATGACTGTGTCACATGGTACCTAAAAGCATAATTAAGCTTAAGGAAAACTGGCTTTCTCCTAACTGGAATCACTGAATCATCACCATCATCATCACCACTGAGCATGAAATGCCAAGCAATGTGTTAAATACTGTATTTGGACTATGTGATTAAATTTTATTTTCATCCCATCTTTAAAGATGACTCAGTTGACAGTAAGAATGTTTATTTTCCAGATTTGCTTTGAAATTTATAAAGGCAGAAATTAAACAGAGTTATAATTGATTATGGGAAACAAGGTACATACCCATGACACCATTGATTAACTGAGAAATATCTCAATTAACTACAGGATTAATATAATTATTTTGGTTATCAAATAAAACTTATTATTCAAAATATGACCAAAAAAGAATAAACAGGCTCTTAAAATTTTGTCAACACATTCTGACCGAAAGACCCACTTTAGGATCTGTGTTCACTTTCAATGTCTGTGAGCAGTCCATGCAGATTTAGGAGAGTCAAGGGCACACAAGGTTATTTACAAGGATGCCTAAATATTGATGAGCAGCAAGACAGACTGATTTTTTGATAGTTTCTAACTTCAATACCAGAGAGATAAACTTTAAAACAAAGAGTAGCAGAACAGCCTGGGATAAGATAAAGTAATTGAAGAATTTGTTATACTCCCTTCGTGCACTAAGTAGATTATAATGTGGCCCCAGTCAGAGCAGAATGAGGCAACCAATCAGACAGAGGAGATATACAACAAGATGCTTGTAAAACCTTAGGTTGAGAAAGAAACAGATCCTTTGCCAAAGCAAACCCCTGCCAATGCTAATTCTACACAAAATGGGTTGGCAGTCAGCCTGCAGTGTGCTGTTTGGGGCCAGATTCCCATTAGGGGACAGTATGCAACTGCTACTTGCATGCTCAGAAAGCAGAAAAGGCAAGTCTTTTTTTTTTTTTTTCTCATGTTGCTATAACTGAATGAGGAAATATTTTTATTTTCTACCACAAGTCTTAGAAGGGTGCCCCAGACAGCTGTGCAGAGACATTTTCACCTAAACAAAAATGAAACCAATCCCAAAGAGAGAAGGGGTGCTAAAATGAATAAAATTTCACCCCTCATGCCATGGCAATTTGATGAAAATGTCTATTTTCTGAGACAGGGCCTCCTGAGAAGCTTTATTACCAGCTGTGCCCAGAAGTATACACTGAAGCCTAACAAGCAAAATAGGAAGTGGGACAATTTGTGAATAAAGATTTTTCTTTTCTGCTTAAAGCTAGACTGGCAAATATTTGTATTTTCCATGAAAAAGACACATTCATTGAATAGTATTTTGAAGCATACTGGATAGAATGACAAGTTTAAAAGCCATTTACACCGTTGTACATCAACAGAGCAGTTCTGTCACTGTAAGAACCACAAATTCCTAATGACTCTGAATTTGAGGATGAGAAAACAAGCAGAGAATAAAATCTAATATCTCTGTAGGCATAACCATGGTATGGAATCCGCCAATGCTAGCAGTTCAGAGGTGTGTCTGAATAGTGATTTCATTTGCCAAAGGCTTCCAGGAATTAGCTGTGTGAGATTTACCTCAAGGAACAATTAGGGAAGGCACACAGTAAGGAGAGGAGAAGGAAAAGAGGAGAAATTCATAAAGGAAGAATGAGAATAAGCACTTTCTCCTGCTACTTCTCTCTGTCAATTGTTTGTATTTCCAAACTTGGAATCCCCTAGTTGGAAAAAGAAATAAGAAATGAGTCAATATTAATTACCTTAATTTAGGTATTCTACAATACATACATATTTTATAACACCATGTTGTATGCCATAAATATACATAAATATATATGTAAAAATCTAGAATACATACATATTTTATAGCATCATGTTATATATATATATAAGTATATATATTTGTCAATTAAAAATTTAAAAAATAAATAAATAATAAATTTTAAAAATGAAAGAAAGTGAGTTGGAAGAGCTCACTTTCTGTGACTAAAGATAATAGTAATTATCTTTGGACAGATACCGAGCCACTCCCGCACCACCACTTGTCAGAGCCCTGCTGGTGAGAATGGCGGCTGCTGCACATCCTGAGGCCTTGACCATAGAGTTAGGCCAATAGAAAGACGATGCAATGTCAGTGACAGAAGGTGCAATAATGTTCATAGGTATTTTCCTGAAATGGAAATCTTACAAACCTGGATTACATAGATAATTTCCAGTGCTGTCTAATATTTTACAGCCTGCATGAACATTTGTCAGTACTTCTATTTTATTGCCCTATTGGGAAACTGAGGTGATTTCTTTTTCTAAAACTAAACCTATACATTTTAAAACAAGTCTATGCTCATTAGATTTTTCCATAACTATTAAAAGACATTATTTATTTGGTGGAAATGACCTCATGTCTCCTTCTGATTGGAATGTCTCAATTGGAGAATCCAAACCTGTATCACACTTTTGTGTATATAAGGCAAGTAATCAACTGAAAGATGTGATCTGAGAGGTGCCAGAAGACTCTCCCAAAATAAAAATGTTGCCTCCTGTATTGCCGGAGTATCCATTATTGGGTGATTCTGTGGCTCACACAATCCCACAACCAAATGTCCCCTTCTGCAGGACACATACTACTCCTCATAAATAGAGTCTTAGTGTAAAAGAAGTTGTCTAGTTATTTTCTCCCTGAGTTGTCAATACCAAAACAGAAGGTCCTTCTCCCACTACTGCAGCAGGTAAAAATCGTTTTATCTCTTTCAAAATCTAGTGTCATTATACTATTTCAGTATTTCTAACTCAAGGGGAGTCAATTACTCCTTTCTCTTGGCCACCATAGGCTTTATACTCACTGTTATCATAGCAAATATCACTATATTTTATAATCAGTTGTTTATAGATTTCTTGTTG